AGAGAACCGAATTGAAATTGTTTCCCCATTGGATACTCTTTCTCGCTCACATCCTGAAAGAAGAAAACGCAAGCAACCAAAGGGCGCTGCTGCTCTACTCCAAGTGAACAAGGCAATACATCATGACGCTGCACAGTGTTTCTACGAGAATAATCATTTCGTCATTAGACTTTCTGTTAATGCCCTGCATCGCCTGAGCATCTTCTCATACACTGAGAAATCAATTTCTCGGGCCAATAGCCACGGATTAAGATGTTTCCTCACTCGGGTGCCGCGGTTCTACGTTTCATGTATCAAAGAACTTACTATTCTGGTTTCTTTTGCATTAGATGAACTAGCAGTATGGTCTTGCGATCTTGTATCTTATCGTGTGAGACCTTCTTCAGTTTACATTTCTAATTCCGTTCTGAATAAGTTTCAGGATATGACAACTGTCACTCTCAAACGCTTTTCCAGTCTACGAGTAGTCAATATCATCTTCAGTGATGTTGATAATGAGATAGAACTTCGAGAATTATTTCTACCGATGCCCCCCCATCCTTTGAATATCGAGCAGAGTTTATTCAACTCGTTTCACAACCTTTTTCAATATGGCAACCTCGAGAAGATAACCCTTGGGATGGATCTAAATGGTGATCCAGATTCATATCGGTTTTGCCCTGCGGACTATATAGAAAGCGGTGGTCTCGTTTTGTGCGTAATTAAAGACTCAATGAAAAGAGCTTTGAAGAACCAGGGTGATGTTTGGGAGTCTCCTGGAACGAATTTAACTCAGATGCACATTAAGGATGATATTTTATCGTCAAGGGATCGCGAAAGAGAATGTGAGAGTATGAACGGGGTTTTTAATGGCATATTTCAAAGGAAGGAGTAGTGGGTGTGATATTTTGAATGATAATCCGGCAGCAAAAAGTTTTCTGTATCTGAATCCGATTGATTGATTCGATTGGACAGCCATGCTGATTCACTTTGGATATCGAGCTGCTTTCAATATTGACAACTTCTATCAAGCTTGCCAGTCCTGAAAATTTCAGCTGTAAAGAATGAGTAACCTGTGATTCGCAAGAAATGTGATTATTTGATCTGAGAATGCATGTTTATTATTCCCCCATGCCTATTCATACCATACTATCACTGTCAGTCTTTGCGCTCGACGTATTTACACGATTCTTCGTTTTCGAAGCAGATTTCACCAAATTGTCATATTTCCTCGTCTAACATATATTAACCTTAGTGAAATCAAGCGATCATTGACACCCAAAATAATACAGTACTTGGAGAGTCGATTAGGGTTTGCATTCACACATTTCTTTAAAGCCAGATCATGCTAATCACTATTTCCCTTTTTAATTTCTCCTTTACTTGCCATACACGTCTTATACGGTGTATTAATTATCTCCAATACATCCTTATCTGTTCTAGTACTTTCATAGTGTATTGTTTTGTAACTCAACAGGAATAATATGGCCTTTGGACACACGATAGTTTTTAAAAGAGCCTCCACACGAGAGTTTCTCGTCGTCGCTCAAACGCTCCGAGAATTTAAAGAATGTAATCATATTCTTCTATATCTTCGGATAGCTTTAGAGATGTCGAAATAGCTAGGGTTGATTACCTATCTATATAAATGGAAGGTGCGATGAGAGAAATATGAAACTGCAAGATTGATCAAGCGATTTTCTGTTCTTTCAGTATGCACTTGCCTTTTAAGTCTCGTTCCACTCTATCTTATTCTATATGTCTTGGGCTTTTTGCAAATTAGGAAATTGAAAACCTCCCATGCCGCAGCGAATATATAAGCTTTCATGGCATATGGCATTATATAACGGGAAAGCGCAGAGGTGTACATTCTCAGTGCCTTTTTTAGAATTTTCTGTTCAAGTTCCATTCACTTATTCATTCAATATATCCATACAACATTGTCAATGAATTATTCTGCTCTCCAAATATTGTCAACAATCAATACCAGTACCTGAAAAGATTAATTGCAGTCTCGTTTAAAGCTCCATTGTCATCAAACAGGCATTCAACGAGTTATTTTTTTGGATCAAACATTGTTACAATGTAGAATGGATGTATTTAAAAACCGAGTTGTTTGGCCGACTTCTTGGGGGCCGGCACCAATAAGAAGAAGGCTTCTTCCTGCTGCAATACACAGTTTAACATTCAAAATTGATGGGTATGGTTGTACCATTAAGCCAGCACATCCCATCTCTTTTAAAACAATCAAACCAAAAGATTTGAGAGAAACTGCAGTTGCGAAAAGAAAATGCAGAGTCAACAGGAGCACCAGTAACTTACCACAACTTGTTCGGCCCTTCAAAGACCCACCACAATGTCTCTTGCCACCACCACCCAATCCTGAAGGTAAAGCATGGGAGGATTTGTTCTTGAAGTTGCCATTGGATGTTCGCTGGATGATATACGATCACATTCCGTTCGTCAGAACAAGACCGATATCAATCAGATCGCCTCTCTCTCCTGCCTATAAAAAAGCCAAAGAGCCGTTCACAAATTCTCACGCTATTCTCGGAGTGAGCAAGGCGATTCATCATGATGCTGCTGAGTACTTTTATTCCCAAACCAATTTTGTTATTGGAAGTTGGAGATGGGATCAGGAACCGGAACTTGAGCCTTCTCCTGATGGTATACAAACTTTTCTTTCTTGGACCCCCAGACATTATGTCAATTGCATGACTAAACTTACTATTCTGGCCCGTCTTGTCATTTACTTTAGAAAAACAGAATTCGCACACGCCGACCTCATGTATTTTGAGGCTATGACAATTGCCGCAAAAGAAAGCTTCGTTAATCTGCGAGTTCTGTCTATTGTATTCACTGAGTTTGACGGTGTTTGTGTCCCAGATTGTCCACTGGACGTTGGAATCAAGACAGATGGATGGCATAACACTGTATACTCTTCGTTCAAGACGTTGTTGAATCATCAAAGTCTTGAAGAGATATACTTGGGGGTGGACTTGATAGGAAAGCCAGCTCGATATAAAAAGAACCCCGCTTGGGACCGATTACCAGATCGTGACGCTTTCATGTTGATCAAGGAGATGGCAAAGTACGCTACAATGGAGCACGGCTCATGGATATTTTACGGTGAAGAAGACTGGGACAGCCTATTTTCACAGGAAGAAGACCGTAAAGATTACTATTATGAGCCCGAACTCTGCCCGATTGCCAGAAAAGTTTGACTAAGGTGTGTAATTTGACAGGCAATTTTATACTTATGCAGCAAGCTGATGCTTCTAGGTTCTGACATGAGCAAAAGAATCCGTCTCAGGAATTGGTTTCGTTCAAGCATGGTTTTGAATCCGACAATTCTTTGCACGTCAATGGTTCGTGTAACTGCGGGTTTTCCATAGTTGGTAGTAGTAGCATATTTGCGGTGGTTCTGGGTGTCAGGAAAAGAAAAAGAAAAAAGACAAAACGCTAAAGTTGGATGGCTGAAACATCAAATTGACTAGGTAGCCAATATGAGTTCCTTTCATTCATGGTTACTTCATGCCGAATTTAGAATATCAATCATAACGATCATAAAAATCCTTTGAAGATGCAAGTTCCAAAGGTGACACTTCTCTTCGCTAGCTCCGGCAAATTGAATTAGCCTCAGGTCATTGACCACCCAGATCAAGTCAAAATGGAGCATATCTATATAGCTCTAAATTACCGTCCTCATCCTAACAAATCTGTGAACTATTGCATTGAAGTTTCCAAACCATGACTAGGATTTCAGCCCGAGAATTCTTCTGGCCGTGGTGATCAAAACTAGCTTAAATTACTTGCCAACTCTGAGCCTATGAGAAGTAAGTGTTGCACATCTATAGGATAAACATTGCAGACTGCATCCTGACAAGCCTTCAAATAGCGAGATATTATATTCCTAGTTCTCTCGCTACCCCTCAGTCACCACTTATTGACCATTTCAGAATCATCTCACTGTAGAGGATTCATCGTAGACTGTATCTGACCAATCTGAAATTTATATCTTGCAGCAATGCTTTTAAATAGACTATTCTTTTAGCTCTAGATAGAGACGTTATCTCCCACACCGTGTATTGATAGGATTGGATATATCAAGAAAATAGAATAAAATACACTTTTCAAGCTATCTACCTTTAGTCTTTGAAGTAATCTATAACTGTCAAGAGATGAGTTTGTGCATCAGAAAGTATAGTCCCGAATGCAATAATAATGTAAAAGACTAGAGAAATACACCAGAACCTTTTTCCTAATCTTCACCGAATGACGGACAGAATAAAAGAGATATGCAATAAACCGTTGCAGTCATATTCTTTATGCATAGACTGATCTCGGTTATATTCCGAAGTTTTACTACAATGACGTTTCAGGATATCAAGAGGTGCAACAAAACTCCTGTGTTGGCGCCGTGGTCTCTGGATATTCACTGGTTCTTGCTGTGTAGGTAATTCAAGGAGAATCAATGACGTTGTGACAGATTTAGATGTGCAACAAAAGTCAGTTTTTGTGGACTTTGTTTATGATGACGCTGAATGACGCTGAAGTGATGTCGTCGTGAGGGATTGAGATGTGCAATTAAATTTTACTTCCATATATTGCCCTATGTAAAATCTGTATATGTGAACTTTTTTACACTTTCCTCGTCAAATAGAGGTTGAAGTATGTAATAGTATTCAATCAAGTCTCATGTATGTCTGGTTTGTACGATATCATGTCTCTTAGATTGATTTTCAAGTATAGTTTGCTTGATTTGAGTCTATGAATTTATCACTTTTAATAGGCACTATTAGTAGGTAAGCAAACTTTATAGCGTCTGATAAAACTGTTTACTCTAATCACATATAGAGAAACTAGAATACATGTATAAAATGAAAATGACTTTCGAATAAACAACTCTATGACTGACAATATCGTACCACTTAATTAATGCCAATCGCCCCATCTTTCTTTCAATATCCCAGATTTCTTCATTCACACCCAAATCTACGCTCGCAGAACTTAATGACCGTCTACTTCAATGCTAGCCCCCTCTCCACCTCACTGCTATTCTTCACCACAACATCTTCATCAATGTCCTTCGGGACTACACCTCCCAGTGTATTACCACTAACATGATCATCTGGCATAAACGGCATTTCCATCTCGAAAATATTGTTAATCGCCGTATATTGATGATAACCAAGTCTAGCCAACGGGGCCGCTTTCAAAACATCGAAAAGCTAATAACTCTATCAGTCATCTTGTTGACCCTGTCAAGAACAGAATCAAGAGGGAGGAAAACCACTCACCCCATCACCTGTAATAAAATCACCCCTGATGTGAATCCCCACCACTCGTCCAATCACAATATCACTATGACCAACCAATGAGTCCCCGGTAATTCGAAGGATAGAATGGACTTTACATTCAAATTGAACCGGAGACTCGGCTACGCGGGGGGGCTTGACTACTTTACTGGGAACTTTCGTCACTTTTGTGAGGGGAAATTCATCGTCCCATGATTCAAGAGCAGTCGCATTGACGGAATCGCGGAGATCATAGCTGGGGGTTGTTAGTTGGATATAATTAAGAAAGAGGGAGCCAACGAGAAGGGGGTTTGATTAGACATAGATAGAAAAACATACGTAGCCATGTTCCAAACGAATTCCCCAGTGTCTTTGGCATTGTTGATGGAATCTTTACTTTGTCGTTTATAGACCGATTGATGACCGATGAACATGATAGTTGGAGGATCAAAAGATACATTGTTGAATTGTGAGAAGGGGGCGAGATTATCCTGACCGCTTCTAGAGGTTGTGGAAATCTGAATGATTGTCAGTTTGATGCAAAAAGAAGAGGAGCAAAACAAGAATAAGTGAAGCTAGAAAATTCCGGAGAGGGTAAATTAGAGCATAGAGCGCAAATATCTTGAAAGAGAGAGAGAAGAGTAAAGATTTTATGCTCACCCAGCCAATTGGACGAGGAATAACGAAAGATTTGAAAGGGTCATGAGGGAGCCCAGAGTTTTCCCCTTTCGGAGGTTGGTAGAAGATATCAGGTCGGGACATCTTGAATGATGATAATGCTTGAGGTGGAATCTCGCAACGTATTTATGAAACGTCGAGTGAGGTATTTGAAAGTCGAAGGATATTTCAATGGTGTTGGAAAAGACTTGTATGAGGGCTTCCTCGAGTCTTTATACCTGATTTTACGCTCAACGTCCTATTCGTTGACTACATCAGGAAACCTGCTTGTCGAGACACAGTAAATACATAAAGTACTCAGTCACAATGTCATCGCCCGATAATCAACATACATTACTGATCAGTCCTCGGATATATTTTGAGGTACATGATAACCTCTCGTGTTGTCATAATTGGTACATTTTGAAGCATTTTTTATATCAAGTTCAAACGAGCCTCTCAAATAAATCTGTTGTACGCATGCATTTTCATCGATGTCCCACATATACCAGGGATCAGTAATCATTGAAAGTCTGGCGAGGGTAGCATTTCCCCGCAAGCGAGGGGCTGGATCCGAGGCTGATGAGTTATTGGAAGGGAATAGTAATCGTTCGTGCGGTGTTGCACACATTTAATCCGAGCTGGATTGTTCTCTTTACCAACTCTTCTTCCAGGACACGTCTTCGTTACCCGTCCATTGAGAATATCGTCGAGTTTAGTAGGTTTTCTTCACGGATTGAATCTAGATAATGGGTCGACGATTTATTGCCTGCGATATAATCTTGTATTTTTGATTTGAAAAAAACACAACACATCAGCATTCACTCCTATATGGATAGTTCTCGATGAAATTAAATTGTTGCATTCATTTCTCCCTCTTTAAATACTTACACATGGAAGATATTTTCGAAATCATACTAATCAAATATGATAAGTAATTGTTCGTAGGATTAGTCCCTCGTTACACAACCAAGATTCAATCCGGTTACCATTACCTTCCGGAAGAACCAAAGGAGTTACGGAAAACATATAAAAATCCTGAACCCACGCGGGCTGAACCAGTCAGGTTAGGATGTCACGAGGGTTTCGCGCGAACAGTGGTCTATATCTTGATATTTGCCTTTACAATGTAGTGTCAACCTACATGATCATGAAATCACAAGAGAAGATTAAGGCGCCAAATCTTTCGACCGCCACCATCAACTCCTGCTGAAAATTTCTTTTTTGGGTGCTTAAGGCGAAAGAAACTCATAAGGCTTCTTGACGAGGAAAAGATGTGACGATATCGCTCCGCTTTTCCGAATTCTCGGAGTTTTAAATAGGTTTGAATCCATAGATATAGTGAAAGAAGATAGGAGTGTATAATTAGACGACGCTTGACCTAGGTACTCGTCTAGAACAACCACGTAACTCCATCTCATTCCGGCGCATACATCGCAGCGATACACATTTGAAAACAAATTCAAGATATTTAATGATAGAACATTAAACACGGCACCAAGGAAATAAGGGGAAACGAGAGCCCGAAATCTCCACCTGATCTTCATATTCACGCTTTCTACCTCTTCCCTCGACCTCTTCCAACAGAATAGTAAACCATCTAGAAAATGAAACTACTCATCCTCTTCAGTCTGCAACTCGCCAGTCCCCCACTCATAGCACTATCGCTCCTCATAGTCGTACTTCGACATATCCATTCCTTTCGCTATATCGATGTTCTCAGTCCTGATTCAAGCAAGACAGTGAGCAAAAATAATCAAAATGGTGTATGGGAGATAGGGGAGAAGAAAGTTCGATGGAACGTTTAAGTCATGTCGCGTTTAGACGAATATTTCCGGGAAGGAGAAGGTTTAATTGTCATTTTCACAACCAGAAACCAACTACGTGCCTTGGATATCCCCAACCGAATCGCTTACATCTTCACAATCCCTTACTGTGCGCGAATTGCCATCCAGCACCCATATAGTCGAAAGCCGCCCAAGCAAAGGAGTTCACTCTCAAACTCGCACATCAACCCATATAAACGGAGCATCATCCCCACGTCTGGCTTTCATAATCTAACAAAGGATCACTGGAATATCTTCACTTGAGTTTCCTTCTGGTTACTTTGTCCTGCTGAAATCGATATACTTAAGTCCTCTAAGCTTACATTTTCCACGCTCGGCTCATCCGCCCCTTTCCGAATTGACAAGTGCGCACTTTTTAATAGCGAGAGTGTTGGAGAAAGGGAGAATTTGGCTGAGCTGACCATAACGTTCACGAAATGGGATTGGGCGTGGTAGATATCGATAAGGAACGTGATTAAAAGCCCACTTTCAAGCTTGCCTTGCAACCGAATGGTTCAGGTCGTCGTGTAAATTTAATAATATGTGTGTCAGTGGGGGGGGGGGGGGATTGAACTCAGGAGACATTGAAATGAAAATTTTCCCATGACTTCTATTCCATTTAGGAAGTACGTTGTTGGGGATAAGCACATAAAACGGGTAGATCTTTTCAATCAAAAAGAACTGAACACGACAATTGTGAAATGTAAAATCCTAGTAAAATTTATGTCTGTACCGTAAGAAACATCACTCCGTCATCTGCCTTGGGGTATCGATAAACGCCTACCATGCGACAAATATAAGTGTCCTATAATACCATTACGCCAGTCCACAGTGAAAGTTAAATCACCAGATCATGCGATATACCACGCCATATATTGCTTTCCATGTTATATAAATGGAGCAAACTTTGTACGCCCAGAAAATCTATCTCGATCGTCCTGTTGGCCCATATCTACATCACCGTCATCATCGTCTAGCTCGAGTCGTCTCTTTGGCTTGTATGATACAGTTGCCTCAGCCTGTCGAGTTTGAGTGACACTTCTTCTGGCTTCCAGAAGTTGATTGAAGTTTAGTAAAGTATGTTTCATCTCATCGTCAAAAGCTATACAGAACCGCTGGTTTTGCACATATTGTATGGCTTCGACGAGTCCTAGTTCGTAAGTCGCCATGACATATGCCACAGCAACAGCAGCAGATCGATCATTTCCAGATTCGCAGAAGAGAAGAACTTTTGGTGTTGCAGCCAAAGGCTGGCTATTTACCCCTTGAGGATTCCGGTGTCTGAAAACTCGGATGAGATGATCATTTATGGTCTGTATGGCTTTTGGAAACGCAGCGATGAGCTCCATGTTACCGCTAACGTCAATGGCACCGGTTTCGATGCCCAATTGTTTTGCTACCTTTGCACCACTCAGAATTCTTGCTTGGGCTGTCTTGATATCTCTGATTACAAGTAGCATTGTAATTCCTTCTCGTCTCAGAGTTTCGATTTCTCTTGCGCCAGAGGATGGTCCGAGATAAAGGAAGGATAAAATTGCTTGGATATGGCGTCGCATTTCATATTTCCAATCCGGTTTTTCCACGGCTACGTTTTGTCCTTGTGTTATCACACTCAATATTTCTCGAGTCTCTTGTTCATCATCCAGCCCGCGATATTTCGATAGAGTGATTGAAGTATCTGAGCCGGAGATGGGTGGTATGTGGATATGAGGCGGCGATGGAGGCTAGATCAAGTTAGATGGTTTCATACAAGACTATCAGTCGAGTGAACTTACCCTCCATGAATATGCAGTAGTAGGAGTGGTGTTGTGTTTTGCAGGACTTGTTGCAGAGTCTGTGAAATCCATACCATTCAACATTGGTGGTGTCATTGTGCAAGACAATGCGAAAGGAGCCTGGAGACCCTCCAGGGATCTAGAATTATTGTAAAAAATCGGAAGGTAGACGTCAAAAGATCTAGAGATTTTGAGGCAACCAGAGGAATATCGCAGAAGAAGACACTATGCTTATTGTTCAGAAGAATGCCGACGCTCTTGGAGGATTCGTTCCTTTGAATTAAGAGTACTTGGAGGTCTTAAGTATTTATTAGACTGGTAATGGACAATCGAATGGAATATCAAAGTGAATAGATCGTTATACGGTAAAGTATGTTGAATCTTTTTGTTCTTCCAGTTCGAGTTGTACTGACGGTTGTTCAAATGATATCATGTTGAGAGCTTGAGTCGAGACTTCGAGTACAGTCCAATTTCTGGGGTACCTATTCTTAGCGCAGCCGCAGAAACACCGTTGTTCCCGATGATTAGGTAAGCCAAGCTTGGTCACAGTGTGGACCTCCAAACCTCCGTGCCTCCGCCTTCAACCCCCGTAAGCTTTGGGGTGAGCTTTCAAGCCAAAACACAACAAAATGTCTAACAAACGAATTGAACAGAGCGAAATCGAGAAATATTGGGAGATATTTGCTTCTCTATCGAATGGTGGCACACATCTTACTGGTGCGCAGGCCGCACCAGTGTTGAAGAACAGTCAATTACGAGACGAACAACTCGAACGGATATGGGACTTGGCAGATGTAGACAACGATGGGAATTTAGATTTTGAGGAATTCTGTGTGGCGATGAGATTGATCTTCGATCTTGTTAACGGGGTATGGGGATTTCATATCATTGTTTGTTGGATTGGTTTTAATGTGAGGATCTTCTAGGAATATGCAGATGTACCACCAGCGTTGCCGGACTGGCTTGTCCCTGAATCGAAAGCACATTTAGTCCAGGCCAGTCGAGCACTTACCGGAAGACAAGTTCAATTTGAACGTGTTGAGGATGATGATGATACCCCGGGCTTGAAGGATGGTTTCGATTGGTACATGAGCCCATCAGATAAGTCCAAATACGAAGAGATATACTCGGCGAATAGGAATGGCAGAGGAGATATCACTTGTAAGTGCATGCGCGCTATGGTATTATTCCAACGGAGTCTAAATTTGCATAGTTGAATCTCTAGATACCCTCTACTCTTCCCTCGAAGTTCCAGACACCGATATTCGCTCGGCCTGGAATTTGATCAACCCATCTGCTGCACCCGCTATTACAAAAGATGCTACTCTCGCCTTCTTACATATACTTAATAATAGGCACGAAGGGTATCGCATCCCTAGAACCGTTCCACCATCGCTTCGAGCAAGTTTTGAAAGTAATCAGATTGATTACCAGATAGACAATCAACGTGTAGCGTCGCCGGCGCAAAAATGGGGCGTTACCGGTAATGAAGAAACAAGTACTG